ACACACACACACACACACATAGACACACACAGTTACCTTCTGTAGCCTGATAATCTCAGCTTCATCTTTATGCAGGGTCTCCCTCAACTTGCTGACTGCATTTGTCAGTTTTTGGAGATGATCACGATTATATTCCAGCTGAGCGTTTAGACGTGTCTTCTGACTTTCAAATTCCAGTCTAGTTAAGGTACAGTATTTCAAACCAACACTTACAAAGCAGACTAGTAACTGTGATTTTAAGTTATTACAAGATACATTTTCACTGTGACATTTCTATGTTTTCTACTTGAACCCAAAAGTTTGCATACATTTGGATCATCGATTCCACCATACCACATCCTGTGGATATACAGGAAGTTACAAAACCAGTGATAATAGTTCAAAAAACACAATATAAAGATACAGTATGGCCACATTCAATATGGAAATTAACACTACAAATTCAAGGATCTCAGCATGAATTATATACCTGTAAATGATACAGATAGCTGGGCAAAAGCTACACTGATCTGTGTATATATGCAATGTCTGTGCTCCCTGCTCAGCCCCATCAGCCAGCACGAACGTTTATCTGAACCTGTCTCAGTTCGGAGGTGGCAGTTACAAAGCATGAGACCAGAGTTTTTTAAGCCATATTCAGCCTTGCTTATTATCTCTCAACTGGTACCTGTATTCTTTTTACAGGGGTACAATGGTAGAAACTTCTTCACATGCCGCTGTGAGACAGGACTGAAGTAGAACTAAGCAGATGTTTACAGAAAGGTCTCCTCTCAGCTGTTATTGTCTGCTTCTGAGCTTCCCGAATGATTTATTACTGGTGCTGCATCTGATGTTCAGGCAAAAGGGTTGGCCCTACACCAGCTACAGGCTCTTCAGGCCTGGGCAAGAAAGCACCATAGCACAGGTTTAGTATAACTAATGCCGCCTAATTAGGGCACAAGCAAGGCCAAGGCTGTATGTACGGTGCAGTATAAGACCATGCAAAAAGCTCCTCTTTTCATTGCTCAATTACTAACTTTTTTCACCTCACCAGACTTCAGTTCTTGCAAACACAAATAAAAGTTCAAATCATTTCAGCCAGCAGGTGCTTTAACTGCAGCTCAACGCACTGCACTACTACCTCATTGCAGCCCTAGCCAAAAACATAGATTTGGTCTAGTTTCTGAAAACCAGACTCCTAGCAGCTGAAGAGGTGGCTGAAAAGAAAATGGAGTTCAGTGCTAACCAGTACACCTGTCATGTAGAAAAGGTGTATTTTCTATATATAATATCAGGAAATGCTCAAACTATCATCTGCCTAAAAACGCCTGTAGTACAAGGAGACAGTTCATTTTAACGTTCTCATTCTTTAAGGTTTTAATTTGTAGTCCTGTGACATGTGGCTGTTTGAGAGAAATACCACCTGAGGTTACCTATAAGAAAATTAAGATCCTGTTTTCCTTAATAGTACATTCCTACACCAAATCACTGCATCTTACACCCAGTTCTCCTTTAACATTTTGATACATGAGTGAGCCTTCATGTCATCCTCAATCTGCAAGAGCCATTTTTCAGTGTGGATTTTACAAAGCTATACTTAGCTTTATTTTTCTAAAACAGTGCTACCAAAACAGTAAATTTTACCTTTCAATTTTGTTGCAAAATACCACTGACTATTAACTGTCCAAGATGCCCACACCATAGCAGTGCAACTGCTAACTAATCTTTGCAGTAACATAACTTTTTACAGTCTTCTAGGTCTTTAAGGTATTTCCTGTGATGGAGTTACTCATTTATCGGTGTGCTCAATCTAATACAAACCACTTTCTTTACATTTCAATTATAAATACCACCTTCTCTTATCAATCTCTTCTTGTTGCTTTACATTTTCTTGTTCATACACGCGAATATTTTCTATACCAATTTCTTCACAGAACTCCTGGAAAACAGCATCTTCAGCCTTTGAATAAAGAGAAATGATGCAAAAAATGTTTCTACTATTTTGGCACTCAGGGAAGTAAAACATTTAGAGGATCGCTTCATGCTACAGGCTGGATTTTCAAGGTACTTTAAGAAACAGCAAATGAAACTACAGAGGAACAGTCTGTATTTGACATTTTCAAGTAACACTTCCAGTACAAATGCCAGATACAAAGCATGTGATGCACAAGAGGTAACTCTCATCTAAGCTCTTACTGACAGCACCTGGTCACTCCAAAGACAATTAACATCGCGGTATAACCAACTTCCTGTTTCTGTCTGTGGTTCCCAGTCAACTGAAGAAGAAGAGAAAGCTGAATGGTACACAAGACACTCATCAGATACACCATGTTTCTTGGTGTAGATCAGTTCTTCATTTTAATCCTTTCAAGTGATCCAGAAATATTAAATGCTATGTGCCATTTACAGCAAAGCCACAGCAAAAAACCTGCTGAAGAATCTCCCATGTCCTAACTATAGAGTACATACTAACAAAAGCTTCAGCCAAAAACAGTACAAAAATTTTAATGAAAAATTTAAGCAGGCAAACAGGTATGGTGCATATGGCAGGACAGAACAAAGAAACAGCAACAGCATTTAAAAGGAACCCCAATGGACTGAACAAAATTTTAAGAGAACATTAAAGGTCAAAATGTAGTATTTTTATATTGTTTTGGTACGCAGGCCCGTTTAACCAGGTATCAAATACTGCATCAAATCAAGTTATACTATTCAAAGTAACACTATTTTTCAGAAACCAATGACCAGCATTTGGTGTTTTGCTCGTTTGTTTGTTTTGCAGAATAAGCAAAAGAAAAGCTCCCTGGATCTAGAATTCTTATGGGCTAAACACCAATTACCTTCTCAGTGTTTGCTGATGACACGCACCTGCACCCCCTCATGCCGCTACCCCAAGCAAGACAGAATGTGCAGCAGTTTTGGCTTCTTTTTACATGCAGAATTCCAGTCCAAGAAAGACTAATGAGACTAGGTTAGAGGCCAGGATCTAAATTACATACGTACTATACACCTCAACTAACTCCAGACAGTGGTGAGGAATCTTTCTCTAAGAATCTACACTCGCACAATATGCTAGGTGCAGGACTTCGAATTCTCCAGATAAAAACTGCAGCATCCCTTTTCCATAGTTTGTACCAGATTCTTTTGTTTGGCAAGAGTAGGAACGAGGCAGCTTCCAGAGAGAGAAGTAGAGATGAGGTGCTTAATTTTGAGAGGGGACATAGTTATGACCTACTCTAGTAAAACACAGTATGAAACCCCTTTTGGTATCAGAATAGGCTTTACTGCTATTCACTTAGAATCACAGAATGGTTTTGCTTGGAAAACACCTTTAAGATCATCGAGTCCAACCATCGAACCAGCCCTAAGTCTGCCACTAGACCATGTCCCTAAGCACAACATCTGCTTGTCTTTTGAACACCTCCAGGGATGGTGACTTGTGACCACCTCCCTAGGCAGCCTATTCCAGTGTTCTGACAACCCTTACTTCACTGAATGCTTTCAGTCTCTTCACGATAACCATGCTTTTGAATTTGTCAGCTGTCTGTAAGAGCTGTTCTAGGGACCACTTGAAGATTAGAGAATGATAGGGAAAATGAAGTACAAGATGGCAGAACAACCTACAGAAAAAACAGCTGGGAAACCTAACTGTTGGATCACATATCATAGTGAACTTTTCCTGTTGCTGATAAAAAGCAGAAAGGAGTAGGTTCTAATGACAAAAGCTGTTAAGTATCATACCAGATAATGAATTTTTACAAGTGGGGACAGCAAAAGGTCCTTAACCTCTGCATCAGCTAGCCCTCAAAAAAAAAAAAAGAGGGAAAGTAAAGAGGACTCAGTTATATCATAGGTTAGTTCTATCTTCCATTTATTGGACTCCAGATGAATGTAGGCATACAACAGTCTTAAAGAAACAAAATAACCAACAAAGCAAAACACCAAAACAAACCCCAAAACCACAAAATCCAGAAGAACCCAACAAACCTAAAACACTCCCCAAAGCCAAAAAACATCCACCCAAACAAAAATCCCCAACAAAACAGTGGAAAGAGGAATCTGCTGACAACCATCACGCACACCCAAACCATTCTCTGAGGGTAACCAGAGTGCACAGAAGCTAATAAAGCACAGGTATTAGCTACTTCCCAAGAAGAGAAAGGAATCTCCACACTGCTGCTCTTTATCTACTTTTCTAGCATAGAGTGGTGTCAACAGGTCAGCACCTAGACGTGACACCTGCACGGTTCAGAACAAAGCATTCTGGCAGTGCAAAGCACAGAGCACTATTCTCAGCTCCAGAAAACCGATACAGAGCTCTCTTCCTAATGGCACGAGCATGCCTGATCTATTCTGCCTGTGGGCTGCAGAAGTGGGGGGGGTCTTTGCCCAGTGAAAAGATACTGATAGAGCATTTCTATGTAGACACTGAATGGGACCTGCTAGGACTGCAACAAGAATGATTTTCAGAAGGACAGTCACCCATTCAGAGACTGCCTACCTAAGTGGGTGCACAGATTACTGAGAGATTTACAAATGCTATGGGTGCATATAGTTTAGCGTACACATATATGCTGTCACAGACCGACATCATCCAGGAAGACAACATGCCAAAAGAAAGATGAAAGTCTAGTCAGGCAGTCACACGGCATCATTATCTCTCCACAAAAAGGAAAGAATCTGTAACTACAGCTTCTTACAAAGAACTTGGGCATTAGAGTCTGAGAAAGAATAAGCTGAGACTTAAAAAATTTTGCCCTCAGGCCATGAAAGACCTAGAGAGTATTTTCCTGGGATTTGATCCACAGTAAAACTTCACACTGAGAGCTCTAAAGCTGTGAACTTCGATGGATTGTCCCTGCTTAATACAACAACGAGTAAATCTTATTTATTAGCACAGTACGAAAACATGGGAGAAAACCAACCCACCTTCTTCAAAGTCAAATATTTTCTATGTCAAATAAAATTACAGTGTATATACTAAGCAAAGCTTAATCTAATATTCAAGTAGTAGACAGATTTGATTGGTTGGGTTTGTGTTAGCCATATAAAAGTCACAGAATTTTAAAGAAGTTGCTTGTAAACCTATGATACATAAAAACTAACATCCAAGTGCATTTCTGTTCACAGTTACCTTGGTAAGCAATGTAGAGAATGTGGGAAGAGTAACTTACAACCCTTGTTGAGAAAGTAGTTTTCAAAGTTAAAAGTTGTCCAAGTTGTAAATGTATCAGGAACAGAAAGAAGTTTCTGTAGGATAACAGCATAAACTGTCACGATCATGACAGAAAGCATTACCTCATTAATTTTTTTCTGAAGTTCTTCTATTTTTTCTTTTCTTTGTGCTATTCCTTCATTCAGCATTTTATGCTGAGACTCAATATTCACCACTTCAATTTCCAGTTTTGATTTTTCCTAAACAGAAAGGAAAAATATGTTAATTTTTCTTAATAGGATGGTCAACTTTCTAGAAACTGAAACAGTTCTGTTCCAGACTGTTTTTCTGATTAAAAAAAGTTCTTCTCAAATGTTAATTACACACTATTACTGCAAATCTGCATGCAATGATTACAGTTCTAATAAGCAGAAAAGTTAATTACATCATAAATATGATTTAAAGTGCATTTTCACTTACAGACTTATGACGGCTACTAAATGATAAACCAAGCTTACCAGAAACTAAACTAGAAAAGGGTAGATTTAACTAGAAAAGGGTAGGTTTAGGTTGGATATTAGGAAAAAGTTCTTCAACATGAGGGTGGTAGATCACTGGAACAGGTTGCCCAGAGAGGTGGTGGAGGCCCCATTCCTGGAGATATTCAAGGTCAGGCTTGATGGGGCTCTGAGCAACCTGATCTGGTACCACTGTCCCTGCTCACTGCAGTGGGGCTGGACCAGATGATCTTTAAAGGTCCCTTCCAACCCAACACATTCTATGATTCTATGAAATTCAAACTAAAAACCTGTAACAGAAAAGCCTTATGTGAATTAGTAATCTTGTTTTTTTATATTTTATCAATTCCTCACTCATAATGGCTGTATGTTAAACTTAAATTGAATTTAAAAAACTACGTAAGGAAGAAGTATTCACCAGTAATTACAGCTTAGGTTAAAAAAATACAGGTATTAAACATGAACATTATAAAGGCTTAGTACTATACCGCATAGAGATTAGCAAGATGTTTCTTTTTGATAAGCTCTAATTCACTCTGTGAATATTTAAGTTGTGTCTGAATTCCGTGGCACTGAACAAGCAATTGCTTCAAGTCAGTCTCCTTACGTCTGATCTTCATTAAGTCCTAGAAAAATATTACAATGGGAGAAGAAAAGGCATTTTAAACAAAAGGTGGCATTTTTAAATTACTCATTTTCCACATCCATGCACTACATAAAGCCAGCCTCACTGACACAGGCTCCATTCAAGGTAAATGCTGATAGCACCGGTCATATTCAATAGTAATTTTGTAACATATTTATTTCTCAATAGAAAGCATATGCTCACAAATTCCTAAATTCCTACTCTATTCCTCCTCCAAAATAACTAAAGGCACGACAAATCATTTCACACGGAAAAGATTTTGGTTCATGCATTTATTTTCATGCTGACAGAATGTTATAATCTTTTTCACTAAGTCTTCAGGTACTTTGAACAGCAGCTCTTTTTCCTTGAGGGTACTTATAACCACAGTGCCGTCCTTGTTCTCTACATCTACAGTATGTGAACCAACCCACCAGCTAAGGATAGAGATCCACAGTTGATTATTATTAACTAGAAGAGGACAAACAGCTATTATGTCCTGCCTGCATCTTCTAGACGTTCTGAAAATCACCTTTTATGTAATCATCTTCCCATAACTGAATTAAACTACTCACAACTTTTATTCCTTTATGTCTTTTGGAGTTAAGTGCTCTTTAAGAGACCTACCTTCAACTCATTAATCAAGCTATCTCTTCTTTCTTTCATTTTATTAATTTCTTTATCATCCCAACATCTAGCTTTAAATCTCAAATCACTCGATCCTCCAGAAATCACGCCAGATTTCAAAAATAAAGTTCCATCAAGAGCCACTGTCTGGAAGAAAAGGAAAATCTGAACACAAAGCAGCCAAAATAGCCCATGACCTAGTGGACCAAGATAAAGTAGTTAAACAAATGACAACCACATTTTAGTTGGACTCCCAATTTTTTTTCCTGTTCCAAACCTGCTAACATGAGATACATAAAGCCACAAAGAAGTCCGTTGTTCCTTGGCACTAGTCACATTTTGGTATTATTACACCTCATCAGAAAAGGAAATGAATTGTACAATTTCCTTGTATTTAGGAAATTAATATGAGACATTTGTGTATACACTGGCAACATAGAGGGTTATGCCTGGCTCAGTAGAGCAAACCAAGCAATGTGATACTGGAGTGAAGGAACACAGCTTGTTTGTAAACAGAAAGCGTAACTGTTAGTAAAGACCGTGGGTGTTTCTGTGATCTAACTGGATTCCAAGTAAACATGATTTCACACTCACCTTCAACTTAAAGCTGTTTTAATCAAGATTTTAAAACGTTTGCTAAGTGCATAAAAGGGCTCTACAGATTGTGACAGCAACAGAGATACAGATAAGAATGAACTGCAGAAGACAGAGAAGCTTCCAATTCTTAACACAATCCACATGTAAGAGATTGTCACATATTTTAAAGGATTTTTGAAAGCACCTCTTCGTAGAAAACCTAGCAAGATAAAGTTTGTATTTTTAAATCAGACAGTTTTAAGAACGAGATTATCCCTCCTTCCTCCTCCTCTTCATCAAGAGGAACACAGCAAGAAACATATTTTGACACTAACTGTCCTCTAATCTGCCTCCTTTTCCCAGGAAATCATGTAATCGTACTACCATATAGAGGAGAATATGACCATGTGAAATATCCGAGGGTTATGTATGTGGGAATAGACTAGACAGCATAGTACCCTTCTGTGTTTATCTGCAATACTTAGTGGGTCATTTATAGAAGAATTTTTTAAATTCCATCAAATACATAGCTGCAATGAAAAATATATACAACAATATTCAGCTTCTTACTTTCAACCTCACTGGTCCATCAAATGCTATTTGTTTTGCTTCTTTAATTGTTTCACAGACCAAGCCATTTCCACTCACAAACTGGATCACTCTTTTCACTTGTGGAAATGGAGTTTGTACAACATCCACCAACAGTTTAGCTCCTTTTATTTCTCTTAACTTCTCGTTGATGGGTTTAACCTGTAAAGCAAGTAAGAGGTGTTTAGAATCCATGCTGTAAAAACAAAGCACATCTAAATCAGAGTGGTCTGGGGACAGGACATACAAATCAACAGGATGAGGGTCTCGGTCACTACAAGGCTAGAAACAGATCTGTCTTCCCCTTCGGTGTATACTACAGTCCTTAAATCTCTACAACCTATTTCACCATGCATGAAATGCAAGCATACTAATGCATGTAGCATGGGGAATAAACAAGATGAGTTAAAGATCTGTGTGCAGTTACAGGGCTACATTCCTCTTTGGATCATGGAGGCACGGTGTGACGTCTCCCACAACTGGAGTGCTGCAGCGGAGAGACAGAAGCTCTGCAGGAAGGACAGGCTGGGAAGACAAGGAGGTGGAGTTGCCTTATATGAGAGAGAACAGCTGGAATGTACAGAGCTCTGTCTGGGGAAGGATGAGCCAACTGAGAGTTCAAGGACTGAAAAAAGAACTGGTAAAGGTACCATTGTAGTGTGCGTCTGCTACGGGCCACTTGACCAGGAAGAACAAGTAGATGAGGCCTTCTACTGACAGCTAACAAGCAGTGTCACATTCACAGGCCCTGGTCCTCATGGGGTACTTGACCCACCCCAATATCTGCTACGGGGACAACACAGCTGAGCATAAGCAATCAAGGCAGTTCCTGGAACACATCACTGTCAACTTCCTCACCCAAATGATAGAGAAGCCAATGAGCAGAGATGCTCTGCTAGACCTCACACTCACCAGCAAGGAAAGGCTTGCTGGTAATGGCAAGGTCAAAGGGAGCTCTGGCTGCTGTGAGCATGAGATAGGACAGTTAAGGATTGTGAGGGGAGCAACCAGGGCAAAAGGCAAACTCACAACTCTGGACTTCAGGAGAACAGTTTGGCCTCTTCAAACTTCTGGTCTGTAGAGTACCATGGGATAAGGCCTCAGAGTGAGGAGGAGCCCAAGAACACTGCTTAACAGTCAAGGATCAACTCCTCCAGCTTTAATAGCAATCATCCCTATGAGTAGGAAGTCAGGAAAAAATGCCAAGAGGCCTGCATAGATAAACACAGAGCTCCTGGCAAAACTCAAACCTGAAAAGGAAGCATACAGAAGGTAGAAGCAGAGACAGGTAACCTAGGAGGAATAGAGAGGTACTGTCCAAACATGCAGATATGGGTTTAGGAATGCCAAAGTGCAACAGGTGTTGAATCAGGGAAGGGATGTCAAAGAAGGGGCCTTTTTAAGTACACAGGCAAGAAAAGGAAAACTAGGAAAACTGTGGGCCTGCTGCTGAATGAAGCAAGGGACCTGGTGACGCAGGATATGGAAGAGACTGAGGTACTGAATTCCTTTTTTCATTTCAGTCTCTACTAGCAAGACTGACTTCCAGGAATCCCAGGTTCCAGAGACCTGAGGGAAAGTCTGGAATAAGACATACCCTTGATGGAACGGTATGAGTTCAGGGAATGTTTAAGCAAACTAGACATACATAAATGCATAAGCCCTGATGTGGCACAACCATCAGTGCTGAAGGAGCTGGCTGATGTCACTGCAAAGCCACTCAATACTCTCTGAATGACCATCACAACTGAAAGAGGTGACTAAGGACTGGAGAAAAACAAGTATCACTCCTGTGTTCAGAAAGGGGCAGGAAAGTCAGGGAACTACAGGACAGTCAGCCCCACCTCGATCCCTGTGAAGGTGATGGAGCAACCAATTCTAGAAACCATTTCCAGGCATATGAAAAAGAAGAAAATCCTGGAGGAGTGGTCAGCATGGATTCACCAAGTTGACCATGTTTGACCAACTTGATAGCCCTCTACAATGAAATGAGTGGGCTGGAAGATGAGAGGAGAGCAGTGAATATTGTCTACCTAGACTGCAGAAAGTATTTCAACACTGCGTCCTATTAGATCCTCATAGAGAAGCTGATGAAATATGGGTGGACTGAAAACAGGCTGAACAGACAGGTCCACAGGGTGGTGAATGGTGGCACAAAGTCCAGTTGGATGCCATTAACTAGCCAAGTCTATACTAGGACCAACCCTGTTTAACATCTTCATTAATTATCTGGATAATGGGGCAGAGTGTACCCCCAGCAAGTTTGGTGATGATACAAAACTGGGAAGAATGGCTGATATGCCAGACAGTCATGCTGCTATCCAGAGGGACCTCAGCAGGCTGGAGAAATGGGCTCACAGGAACCTCATGAAGTTAACCTCATAACTGCTTTGCCTTAACACTTAAAACCTATTTTTGTTAACCTTAAATGAGACAATATCAAGATTCACAAGTGTATTGACTTGTCGATGACACAAAAAAGAAAAAACGTACTTACATCAAGGTAATCCAAAGCAAGAAAAGTTTCAGGTTCAGCTCGTTCTTGTTTCAGGAACTGAATGCAATCTCTTGCTGTTTTTTCAGTGGCAACAACAATAGCAGTCATGTATTTGCTGAATACCTTGGTAACAGCAAGCTGGTATTTTTTATGAATGGGATGGCACAGGTCCAGCAGTCTTCCAAACTGAAGATAGAGAGAAATAGTAACGTGTTACTTTAGATACCAAATAATACTTCTGCATACAAGATACGGAAGCAGTAAGAAGAGAATGTGTTATATATCTACCAGCTGCACTCTGTTACAATAGCTGTACGTCAGAAAAAAATAGAAATTGTAGCAGTCATCAATCCAAACAGCAAAGTACACCTCCAAAATCTGAAGAGATGTGATTTTTTAATGTGAGGTTACGGTTATATATCTCAATGTTTTATCCACAATCTTTAGCATACACTTCTAGAAGTAGGACAGAGTGCCAACAGCGAAGCTACCCAAGCATCTTTTTTGGAGAGAAAGAAGGCGTCTAACACACCGTAAGATCTTTGAATGACAACACGAGCTTAAATAAATAGAACTGTCAACTGAAACATGGTAGCAAGAGAGACAGTATTCCAGTCTCAATCCCAGAAAGAAATTCCTGCTTACTTTAGTACCATAACAAGAATAGAAGCTGCTTTTCTTGTACTCCATAGTCCTAATTATCAAGCCTGTTTTGCCACATACAGAAATAACAACTCCATAGATAAAACTAATTCATTCTTTGCTGTACATGCTCTCTAAAGATATTTTGTTCCATTTCTGTAACTGTAGGTACAGCTGACGTTTCCCTGAATCACTAAAGCTACTAATGCACATCCTGAACATTATGACCTGTACATTTATGCATGAACAATTTTTCTGCTTGTTGACATACAGCTAACTGGTCTCCTTTTGCATATCTACAGTTTTACCCTTACCAAATTTAAACAAATTATGTAAGTGATAGGTCATCCACAGTTTTATCTCACAAATTATATATTTGAGATAATTTCCAGTAGATCAGACCACAGCCTACTATGATCTACTTTCCTACCCTTCTCTTGACAATGTTCTCCCTTTTCTGAAAAAAAAAATAAAAAATAAAAAAAGCAGAAGCAACGGTAACATCCAACACCACAAACGTCTTCATTTAGTTTCCTGGTTTTCTCACACACTTTCATCTATTGGGATGTTTCTACCTGCAGCTCAGACACATATTTCAGACATACAAAATTATATTTTTTCAGACACAGGCATTTAAGTCCAGATGAAATGCCAGATTTCTACGAACACAAATATTGACAGCCCAACTGAATCTGTAACAGCTGCAATCTTGCCAATTAAAACTACCAATGTAGGAGCACCATTTCAAAACCCAAACTGCAGAAACTGTAATCAGCTGTAAATTTAACTTTGTTGATCAGATGAATCCCCAGAAATGCACACATCGCTCATACACTGGCAATCACATTGCTGCATGGCTATTCCAGTACCTGGAATGCTCACCAACCATTATCAGAATGTTTTAACAGAAGAACAAAAACTTGAAAATGGATGCAAGAATTAGACATCTAGAAGCAGTCTGCCATTTTTTGCCTATGAAATCCAGAAGATCAAGATATCGTCCAGTTCTGCCTGAGTACTTAGTACCAGAAGATGAAATGTGTCATGACCTCTTCCAACCTGAGACTTTACTTGGATTGTGTTCAGCAATCTGGAATAAGTACACCAGGACATAAGGAGTAGCTCAGAAACAACTCTGTTGCCTCATATGCTGCTGTTGGGAAAACTATTGCAGGAACAAGGGTAGCTGAAGCAGATGTTGCTACGACTTCTGTAATGGGTTAATTTATGTAACCAGTTTGACTTATCTAGTTTTTATTTGTTAGAAGCCATCACATCTGCAAGTACTCTTAAATTCGCAGCTCCTGAAGGAAAATGACAGAGAATATCCTGAACACCAGCTAAGCCAGATGCAAAGATTGAGAAAAAGAGATACACCAATTATTTTTTAATTTTTTTTTTAAATCTTGTTAACATGGATGAAAAAATTCTGTGGAACAGCTGAAAAGCAAATTTTTTAACCGTTTGATAAAACAGGATCAGACACCAGATTCTGCAGAGGTTCTGCAAAAGACAAAGAAGCAACGAACAACTGAAAACATTTTATTTTTTATGTTCTTATGGCAGCACTTGGAAGCAGAGATATGTCACCTGCTACACATTTAAAAACAAAAATCCCAGCTTGTACAACTCAACTGACTGTGTATATCAAAAAATGACTGAGTATACTAAAATAAAGTCAGAGACCAACTATTCAATTGATTAGATTTATTAAAACATTCTTATTTGGAATGGCTTCCAATGCTGGAGGAAATATTTTAAAGAGTCAATACAAAGATGTCATTATGCTTCATAAAAAAAGTCAATGTCTGCTGCGAATTCAGAATCAATAAAACACTCGATGGCATTACTGAATAGTAATTTAAGTAAAATATGGCAACTGATAACTAAAGACAGACCACTCCGTAACACAAAAATCTCACGCTCCTAAGAAAAACTAACCTTTGGAAGAAGTATTCTTCATGGAATAAATGGTTTCATAGCTAAACTGACCATTTATTTGCTCAAAATAAGCAAGTGAAAAATATGTTCGAGGACAGAAGAAAACAAAACCAAAAAGCAGCAGCAAATAAATCAGCCACCACAAAACCACGAAAGAGATCAAAACTCTTCTTTGATGTAAGTAATAATCTGTAAACTATAAAATTCTAGAAATGGTTAAAAATATGCTATTATTCTTTCAGTAATACTGTTTCACCAAGTACACTCAAGAAAGTAGAAAGCTTCAAATTATACGCAAGACAGTCCAATTTAGCTGTTCACTCAGTCTAAGGCAGAACTATAAATCTTAAATCTAAAATATGGCATTGAAATGAGGTTATTCAATTACCACAAAGTCTGGATAGAGTCTTTTGAGACTTTCTAGGACCTCTGCTTTCATTTGCTGACGCCTTCCTTCATGGTAATCAATTTTGGCATTTTGCAGTTCACCAACTATTTTGTTCAATTCTTCATTCACTTCAGCCGTTCGTACTGTTGAATTTTCTATTTCCCTAGTCAGCACTTCCTCTTGCTGTTTTTTCTCTGCTAATGACTCACTTTAAACAGAAGCAAAAATAGGAAAGCATTTTACTATTTCATTTCTACAAGCTTTTAGCTAATGAAGTCATTCTGTGGTCACAGACTATGAAAATCATTAAAGATTTTAAATATCCATAAGGAGCTACTTCTTATACAAGTTGCTTTCTGTAGTATAAGCTATTTTTAAGGTTTCAAAATTGAGTTCAAGTGAGAGCTTTAGCCTGTGTAACACACAACCATAGTGTTCTATCCTCCATCAAGAAAAGGTCTGATATTGTAAAACTAAGGACTGAGAATTCTCATGCAAAATTATGACTCACTTTACACATTTACCAAAGTCACTAAGGCTCTACAACTCCTTAATTAAATTAATTTTGTATCACACCCAATCACAATGAGTCTGCTACTCCTTGTCCACAGCAGAACTTTGCTCAGTACACAGACAGTGTTAAGCTAAAGCACACGTTACAGAGGCACAGGAAAAGACAACTTGGGAAAAAATCTCTGGAGCTCACAGACTCTGACCTCCTGCACATAATGCAGTCTCATGTCAAAGTTGCTCAATGAAGGGCTTATATACATTATTTCATGAAGAGTAAAAATCAGGCAGAAGAGAACACCCAGGAAGCAAGAACTGAGCTGTGCTTCTAATACCCAATATAAATATTAACTGTTTCCTAGAGCAGCACAACTACAGAACTGCCCTGTTCTCTCACACAGAATTTGTACATTAATAGACCAATATCCTACCTGTAGTGACATAATTTGCACGCCTACAAGGAATTGCGAGCAGTTACAAAATCGGTTTCAAAGAAAATACGGATGAGTCATCATACTTTATTTTGACCGCAAAAGTAACTGAAATATTAATTAGAATTAATAAGATTTCTAATTCTTATTAAAATTGGAAAGAACAGAAAAGAATTAGAAACAATTAGAAACCTGCTGTTAATTTGAAAATGTATAATATGCAAGAAATCTAATTAACTTTTGATTTTTTAAACATACGTGCATATCTTGACATATTCTTCCAACTTCTCTATTTGTTTTTCATGCTCTTCTATCCGTTCCACAATCTGTTTTATGTTTTCCTATGCAATCACAAACAGAATGTGTTAAAAACCAACCAGAGGAAAGCAACAGTTTTACAGCAAGATGTAAAGCTCTTAATTCAGAACAAATATTGAAACAGATCCTTTTCTGCCTTGCTAGTATTTCATGCTGAAGTAATAGCATCTCTTTTTCGATAGTAGATGCCAAATTGCACCATGAAAATGAAATAAAAATTATTTTATCAAGGCCATTACTGGATTTTTATTTTTACTGTCTGGCTACACTTCACAGAAAGCCTCTTGAGCACAAAGAATCATGACACCACTGAGTAAAACAACTTTAAACATCGTGTTAGTAAATTGTAGGTGTTAAAACAAAAAAAGTGCTTCTCTTGGCTCAAGATTAATAGCAGCTTTCTCCTACGGATAGATTAAGTTGACATAGAGGTTTCAACCTGACACAAGAACATTGTACTAAAAACCACACCAACAGTGAAACAAATATTTTCAGTTACTCAAATTGAATAAAAATACATTAAATAAAGCAAATTAAAGGAAAAAAATACTGCGATCCGCTAACTTTATTAAGCCTTAATTTTACTTCTGACATCCTTGTGACCTTTTGAATAGCTCTAGGGGTGGTGAGTCCACAACCTCTTTGTGCACCCATTTCAATGTTTGACTATCCTTTGGATGAAATAGTTTACCTAATAGCTATTCAGAATTTCCTGCGTTCTAAGTTGTGCCTGTTGTCTCCCATCCTATCACTGTGCACCTCAGAAATTGTGGCTCTGTCTTACTGATAACCTTCCATTAGGTAACTGCAGACAGCAATACGGTTTCCTCTTCATTCCCCCTTCTCCAGGCTGAGCAGATCCAGTTCTCTCAGCCTCTCCTCATAAGCCAAGGCACTCCAGTCATGGCCAGCTTGGTGGCTCTCTCCTAGACTCACTCCAGGATGCCAGTATCTTTCTTGTACTGGGGAGCCCAGAACTGGACAGAGCATGCTAGATGGGGTCACATACATGCTGAATTGTGAAGAGTGATCACCAAATATCAGTAATACAGTTAAGTAATGCCAACTTTCAATGGTCCGACATGCAGTTTACAAATTCTCAAGTTCCTTATCTCCTTCTCAACAGTAAATGGGACTTGCAGAGTTTTAGAAGCAAAAGCAATAGAATTAATTTCACTTCTAGTTACTAACCAGGTCTTCCTGGTAACTGGTACTTCAAAAGAGAAAGTAGTGTTATATTAAGAGCAAATGGATTTACAAGTATTAACTTAGATACCATGGCAAGGATGACTTTACATCCTCACAGATACACAGTAAAATACAGGCTTTTCCATACAAGCAAGTTTATATTTACAAGACTGAGGTGTTACCAATTCTAGAACTGGTAAGGTATCATCTGATGGATTTTTAAGTTTTCAGAACATAAGACAGTCTCCTTCAAACCTTGACTCTGTAACTAAATGGTGACGAAACGCATGTTGCTTCCCTAACTTCTTAGCAGGTGACAAAACTGCAAGGTTAGCATAGTCTAAAAAAAAAGTAAAAAACCAAAAAAACCCTAATAGGACAAGGTTTCTAGCAAAAGACAGATCATCAGCTAAGCTTCTGTCCTTTCTACCCCTATCAGAAGCATCAGGTGAAGCTGAACGAGTTGGGAAATAATTCTGCTAAAAGGGAACAACAGGCATGGTGACCAAGTCATAGTGAAAAATGTTAGGTATTTTATCATTACATGCTTGGATCTGCAATGGTAAAAGAAATCAGAAGCAAAACAGCAGCAATGATCTGTATTCACACCAAATACCCTGCCTCTAAGCGCAATAGAACAGCAGACATCAAGGAGATTTTTCCAACTACAACAAATACACACAACTGACCTTAAAAACCATCTCAGCAGCAAGGTAGCTGTGATCAAAATGGACCTCTGAAGGGTGGGAGTATCATACAGATACAAAATGGCAGTAAGTCATCTCAGAAAGAAAAACTACTTCCAAAACCAGGAACTGGTTGCAGTTAAGCATATGTTCTGAGTAACAGTAAAGTATTAGAGCCAAAGCTTTCAAAACCAAATCCTCAGTGTGGGCCCACATAACCACCTCTGACCAAATCTAGGAGCCATTTTGCTAAACCTGTTACAATATGAAAACTGAACTAACACTTGCAATGTATCTTATTTGCTAAGAATTTGTTTGTCAAAGCATTTAACACATTTACATAGATACTTTTAAGGGGGGTGGGGAAGGGAGCATTTTTCTCTTTAAAGCACAATTGTAGCTTAGTACAAATACCTCAACTTCTTTTTTCTTCCTCCAATTAAGTTTCAGCCTTTCTTGATCTGCTTTTTCCTCCCAGCGAAGTTTTTCTAGCTGCTGGGTTAGCGTAGCCACTTTCTTTCTTGTTATTTCCTTTAGCTCTTTATAGCGCTCCAACTAGGTAAGTAACAAAAAACATCACTCCACTGAAAATGGGAAGACATGTGTTGTTACAGCATTTGACTATTAATTGCTACCTTATCAAAATTAAGGTTATGAAAACCATCTATGTCTCCAGAAGATCTTTCTAGGTACTAATTGTATTAATCAGGAGTTGTATTTTACCAGAGGAAAATTCAACCCAAAGCCTACACTTAATAGTTCTTGTCTACAGTCTTGTTTTGGACTTCTGATGACTCCTTTTCCAGAAAAGTTTATATACAGTCCTTCACAGTTAATCTTAAGGTTAACACTAAGTTTTTGCACAGCCCCAAATTAGTGCAAGTTTTGCTATTTTTAATTCCAGCATTCTCATGTTATCCAGTATTTTTTTTAAGGTGAACATATAAAACAACGTTCTGAACTATCCTGCAAAGTTACGACTAACTGACCAAATGCCTTCAAAGTGCAAAGTAGGAAGATTTACAAACTAAAAAGAATAAATCCTGCAAGTTCTCAATTAATTGATCAGAAACTATTTTAAGGAAGAGAGACAGAGGAGAAAAGAAGATAGCACTTAGTTTTAAAGTGTTTCTGGCCTTACGGTTGCAAAGATAGCTTCAAATGTGAATTTACTGTAAAGTAATGCAGTCCTTTCCTTCTAAAACAACTTAAAGTAGCACACAAGTGACCTAGCTCAGTTTTAGATTCTGACCCACAGAAGATGGTATGTACACTACCAAGTCTTGTTTGCATTTCTGTTGCCATCTTGTTTTTTTCCTAATCAAAGACATATTTCTGTACCTCAGCTGACAAGCCATTTCTCAAAAATCACCCTCGCAGCCTGAGACACTACTGGATGTTTTCTATCCTACCCGTCCACAAACTATCACATGGACTTCCATGAAAAGGGGGATAAAAAACCCAAAGCAGAGAGACCAACCTAACCATGGATAATTACAGGTAGCCATAATCCTAATCCGCAGATGACAGTTCCTGCATACAACCCTTTTGAAGTTTTCATCAAACTCTTCTCAACTTCTTGTTCACTGAAAATTCAGTGCTTCCTCTAATAAGGTACCTTCTCACATTGCTCAGAAGATGCACTTCACACAGAATCACAGAATTACAGAATATAGGAATTGGAAGGGACCTCGAAAGATCATC